ATTCGATGAGAATTTCTTTTCTTTTGGCACTAAAATACCTGATTATCATTATTCATTTCATCTAACTAGTTCGATTCACACTATGGTATGCTTTTATAGCAGTACAAAGCTAGAGGCCTTTATTCATATGTAGTTGTAATCAATAAAAAAAACTTTTTGTTTATTGAAGTTTCACTGTGCAAATATGTGGTTATTTTAATAAATTGACTATATGGCGTGTAATAACGTAGAAAAGATTAGTTCTGTTACTATAAATGATAATTTTATCGGTTACCATTCGGTAATCAATTTATGTACACAGTCGAGTTTTACTGATGAGTGCCATATGACATTGAACTCAGGCTGAGTAGAACATGTGTTTGTCATTTATTATCAGTTTGCATATTCTTCCCTTGAATGCCTGACTGGATATATTATAATTGCCACTTGATGATTAAGAGAATGTAATAGCGTCTATATTAGCTACCAGCTTTCCTGAATTCAACCCAGATTTATAGCTTACTGATTTAGATACTTGACTTTCAGGTGAAGAATGGTTTATTTCAAGGTGGTTTCATGTGTTGAGATATGGATAGCTAGTTATTGCGACTAGCTCTCTCATACAATGCCTAGATGTGGTTAATGATCTATCTTAATTGAAACGAGTTTATTGAGTGAAATATATATTTTTTCATATTATTGTTATCCAAACATGTCATGTAATCAAACAAATGCTTCAGTTTTCAAATTGTTTTGCATTTGTATAGGTCATAGTGTGTTTGAAATGAACCTTGCTGTGTAAAATTAGCCAGACGTTAAAAAACAAAAATTACTGCCAACAAATAAGCTCTTTGTGTTTCAGCCTTTTTTAGAATTTTGGATATTTTGTTGGTCGCTGGTTTGAATCCGATCGTGGTCCTGATTTTCATCTCTCACCTTCAATCATCACTCATTGCAAATATTTTGTTGACTTAACTTTTTCTCAGTATATCGGAATCCAAACTGTTCAACCCGCATGCTCATCTTGTAGTTACTCATATGAAGGTAGTGATGTTTTCTTAACAAATCAATTGTCAAATTACAGATAGTCTGGAGGATGAAGGTCGCATATTTTAGTCTGTGATTGTATTGATAGTATTTAATGGTAGAAAATCACGTTATTCTGATTCCATCTGTGTATTTTAGGTCAGATAACCTAACCTACTTCGTTAACCTTTCGTTTTGGTGGTCAGTTAAAGCTTTTCAATTTCTCTATCTTACACACACACACACACACACACACACATAACTCTTAGCTCTACCCTTGAGCATGTATAGCGCGAATGTATTAGGTGTTGATTGTTTCATTCCCAGCGGGGAGGAAAAAAACGAAAATTGTCATTTGTTTCTTCTACGATAGACAATATAATTATCGACTAGTGTATGCTGAAAACCATCATGTATGAGTGATGTTAAAGGCCTCCATCCTAGATATTGCTGAAATAACCCAGTATATTTCTTTAATCTTCTTGAAACTACCTTTCTTGGCGAAATACCGCAACCTGATTGGTTATTCCAGCAGTTGCTAGGGTAATCTTTGAAGTCATTCATTTCGGAGTATTTTAGGAATTTGGACTTTTGTACGAAGCTTAAGTAGTTTGTTTCTAAAGCGAAACACTAGTTCTATGTAAGTTGTGTTTGATGTTTGTGTAATTCAGGGTGTGCATTGCTTTCTATTTGCGATTTATGTGCTACAATTCTATACATTTCACTATGTGTTGGTTGTTTTTAGTTATCAAAGGTTTATGGCTACACACGTTATTCTACTGAAACTTCACGAACGCATACTACTAGCAGCAAAATATCTCGAAAATTATTCTATTTACAGCTCTACAAGAAAAATAATAACCAGATTCATCAAAGCTTGATAACTACTTTCTTTAAAATACATCATTAACCTCCTAGTTCTAAATAGTGTAGCTATCACTTCAATTAAAAGTTGTACAGGATATCTTAGGTGTTCCTTCTTGAAGAACTAATATAAGTGAAGAATGGCACAGGTTTTCAAATACCTGTATGGGTATTCAGTTGTCAAGGTCTTTGTAATTTCTGGTTACTATATAGGGTTTAATTGCTCAACGTCTTTTGACGGATAGACTCCTATGCTGATGTCTCAGTACTGCTAGATATTCATCCTGATGACTCGCAGTGGAATCCAGGACCCACATTCCGTCCTATTTAGGACTCTTTAGCTCGATGTGTCTGAACTCCAGTGAGTGACCCTGTTCCCATCGAGACTCGAACCCCCTGCCTATCGCTTCGAACGCCAATGGGGCATGAGAGCCTCAGCTTTTGCAGGGGGTATCATTTTTTATAGGGGTAAGTTTTAATATAATCTTTCAAAACAGTCGTAGCAACTATGACCCGGATGTTTATAATCTGGTATCATTTTTTGTTATTTGATACTTATCATTTCCCGTTGCTATATGAGGTCGACTTGTTTGACCTTTGAGAACGTGACTACTCACTGGGGTGCAGATACACCCAGCTGAGTCCTAAGTAGCACGAAACGTGTGTCCTTAATTCCACTGCTAGTCACCAAGATGAATAGGACACCATGAATTTCCAGTAGTATCGATGCCTTAGCATAGGAGAACTTCTGCCGATAGGGATCGAGCAATTGGACACTGGTGTGATGGATAACGCTTCGGTGGGAACAATATCACTCGCTAGGATCCAGATAAATTTACATGACGAGTCTCAAATAGAATGAAACTTGCGTCTCGGATTCCATTGGTTGCCAATATACATCATTACTATCGAACTGTGAGGTATCATGGCAATGTTGACAACTGAAGTATTATGTACTTTGTATGGATTCTAGAATGTCAAGAATCTGTTGTCGTTCACGTTTTTGGCTGAAAATACGACTTTTCACTTTCTTTGATTGTAAATAAATGTGTGATAAATGAAGTAAGGTTGGAATATGACCTGTGTTCGAGTTTCATAGCTCACCAGTGAAACTTTGGTTCAGTTACAGTTCAAGGTTTCTTAGTTTGCAAACACACGTATATTGAACCATCATTTTTTTTATATCATGTTAATTCATCTCACTAAAAAGTTTAGTGAAATTTGACCTTGTTTTTGATATGCTGATCTTGTCATAACATTCTATTTTTATTGTCAAGGTGAGTAAATACATCAATGCATTACGTAATATGTACTTTTCTGATTTCTTTCATCCTTCATAAATTGTTATCTTTTTTTATAATTAGTATAAACTGTTAGTTTTTCTAACCCACTTAATTATCTGCCCTATTTAAAAAAGTACATTAGCTAGCGATGTTTAGTTCACTGGAGTTGTAAATACAATTTAATTCAGTTCCACTGTTTTGTCACAATTCAGTGTTAGCTGTAAAATTTATCTGCAATGAAAACATACTTGGCCGGTGTATCACTTTACCTATAACCTTCATGATAGTAACATGGTTTCTCAAAGAATTTATTCATTATTATTGGTCCCTTGGGTCCGTAATGGAACATAGGGCTTCAGTAGCACGTCTCCAGTGAATGAAACTTACAAAATATAGACTTCAGTATGCTAAATGTTATAAACACTGGAGAAAATACTTGTACCTCAATCAATTTCTGAAAAACTATGGTTTTGTGTGCGACTTTAAAGGCCACCCTAGCAACAAGTGAAATAAATAATCAGGCTACTTTATTTTACTAAAATCTGCCTTTCCAACAAGAATGAAGAAACCTAATTGTTTATTTCTATCGTTGCTAGAGTAGCCTTTTAAGTTACTCGATTTTGTTGCTCAATGCCTTACATCTTATAATCAGCATTATGAAGCTTTTTATTGGTTTCAGAAGTTGTTTTCCTCCTTAAAAATCTACATGAGAAATATGCCTATGTTCAAATGTTACCACATGATTTAAATATCTTCAATGCAGTCTAGATAGACAGCAAGGCGGTGAACTTTTGAGTACTGAAAAAGCGTATTTGTACGACATTCAATTGATATTCTGCTGAATAATTCGAATCTCACATGGGTAAAGGGACCGCTGTGGAAAGAATATGTAAGTCATTGCCGGTCCTAAGACAGACAGATAAAATCAACGAAGGATATCTTTGATTGAGTTTCGTGTACAACCGGAAGCATACGGCCGGTTAACACTTCTCGTCTATCCACACCATGGAAGAGTATTTCTTCTTAGAGCACCTGGAAGAGAGAAAAAATTGTGTGATCACAGAGACGAAGAGACATCTTGAGGTCTGTTACGCACAACCTTTTGCGGATTGTTGTTTTCAGACTTGGTTACTCTAACGCTGGATGGAGAAAGCCCATACATCCGTCACTGGAAGACCTTAGGGCAGGGAGAAGTGTGTGTTTTTTTACGGGAGGCAACCTTCTCTTCCCTCTCCTCCCCTATGGGAAAGCAGAATCAGTCTGGCAATGCTGGTCATCCAAGGGAAACACTTTACCGCTGTCACAACCCATCTAGTCAGTAGTACTACTGCGCCCTCGAACCCCATCATATTTTTAGCAGTTTATACTACAACAGTATTCGCTTTTTGTCTTATCACTGTTTAACAAACCTTTCTGACGTGGTAGAACCTCGAGTGAGCATACATTCCAGCCAGTGTAATTCGTTGAGTCATTGTTATATAACAGCTTGACTACCATCTCGCATGGGTGCTGGACCCCCAACCGACTTTCCTTGCACTACTAGCAAAATACCTTCTCATTTTGTCATAACTGATTCAGTAGTCATTTGCAGGTTGGTGCATTCGACACTGAGGCACAAATATTACGTGAGGGCTCTTAATTGATATTACCTAGCTATCTAGACCTTGGTAGGTGAAACGAAGTTGAAAATAGTGCTGAAAGTCAACTGCCATAACTGAATGACCACACAACTCCACCTTTGATTCAGAGTTTTTTTGACCTGACTGTCTGTGAAACTTTTTTTCAACTTAATCCATCATTCTACTGGTTTGATGATGCCTTCCACTATAAATTTTTCATTTGTATTAGCTCAGTGATGAAAGTTATTACGGTGATCAAAATCTTTTCTATGTATCAGCTAGTCGGTCTGGTGATAGCGCTGTTGTTCCAATGCCACGTAAAGGCCCAATCTATCAAATTGCCTGGCAACCAACTTTCTTTTCTCATTCCACTTCATCATCGAAAAAGAATAAAGACAAAAAAGTTGAAGAATACTTTATTGTTTGTTATGGATGTAAGTATTTATTCCTTTATTTGAAGTTATCTTTTGCATTCAGGCTTGATATATAACATCATCTGGTCCAGCAATTTAGAATTGACTGGTTGAATAAGTTGAACAATTTACTTATTAGAGGATGCCCATCGTGTGTGACATTAGGGTGGCTAATGAACTCATCGTTACAACTATATCACCTGATATTTTCAAAATTATACCATCTTCACTCAAAACGTTTCCCTCGAAAAAATGTGTATGTTGTGCATTACTCTAAGTTTTACTTATCTATTGGTTTTAAATACGGTTTTAAGTAGAACCATACTGTTTAATTATTTATCGCTTCAATCCATTGTTCGTGTATGGAGGAACCAGTTGAAAAGCAATTTTTATACTACACTTTGGGTTTGGGACAAAAAGGATATGCCAATCACTAAAGTTATAAACTTGCTCCCAGTTTGCATGGGATTTTTTCAATCTTTTAAGTCCCCACATGGTGATATGTATGTATGCTTAGGAAAAGGCAAATCGGCGACCGGAGATGTACTACTGACTGACTGTCAGTCCCTATCAGTTCAATTTCTTTTGATCATGGCTATCGAAAATCGAATTGGAGGACTTCCATAGCTCGTATATATAATAACAGTAACGCAGGTGAATTGCAGCATTTTTCATTGTTAATGCAGTGTGGCGCTCCAAATTTCGATAGCTAAATCATAGTTTAAATAGATGACCGATCAGTTGGAATTCGAGCCTTTCATTCAGTGAATTACACCTTCATGAAATATGCGACTGGTCTACATGATTAATGTAGGGCTGCTGTCGTCAGTCAATAGATTAAGATAGCTCAGATCTGGCTAATGAAGGGTATCGATCGACATGAATAGTTAGGTAATATTCGTGTTTCTCAATATTGTATTTTCACATTAAAATTCTTTTCATTCTTTATCAATTCATTGATTGCATCACATGACTGGTTACTTTTTGTTTATAAACTTTAATTACTGAGATTTGATATGAGTATGATTTATGCTAGTATTCACGTCCTTTAGGTCATAGTAAGTTCTGTAGTTGTACGTCTAATTCTTAGGCAGTGTTGTTTCTTTGAAAGTAGCTGATCCCATTCAAGTTACTTTAACACTGTGCATTTAAAAGAACTATCGAAATAAATGATGGGTCAATTCGGCTCTAAGTAATACATTACAATCGTAACTTGGAAAACTTGTTAGTCATTTCTGATCATCCTCGTTTGTTTGTTTCACAGTAGGGTTATTTAAGCAGTAAATCGTCTACCCCTTTGTAAGTCGAGCTACACGTATTGCCAGCTGTTTTAATTACAACTCAATGTAAACGTATGAATAGAGTTAATTGAAGGTCAATGATAAGTAGAAGCATAACTCGTTACTGAGTAATCTAGACCCTATGATGCCTCTGCTGTGGCCCATATTGTATCAAGTTTGTGTTGTAAATGATAATAATGCCAATCTAAGCACTTGACTTTTAAACCATAGAATTGCGAACTGGGATATCGCTTTGTATATAGCCTGATGGGTAGTGTTAATAGTGGTGGAGTAGTATGGTATAGCAGTTTTTCTGTATCTTAAATTACTAGTTATAGTAAAAGTTTTTTTCGGTCATACCAATTATTTCGGCTTTTTAAATTCTTCTTCTCACTCCAATGAACTGGATTTCTAGTACAATTTTAAACTATAACCTTCTTGTTCAGATAGTATTTGCTAATTGATGGATGAAAAGTGACCCGCGTTTCGTCACATTTGCGACTTTTCAATTGTGTGTGTCTGTTTTCAAGTTTGCTAGTGTTATTTTAAAGACTCAGTACCATATGCTCAAAATGCATAAAGTGGTATCTACTAGGTCACTTTTTTTCATTTGCAGGTGCGAACGCGAGATAATCTCATTAAACATGATCCGTTTTCTGCCACACATTCGATTAACATTCAAGCTATGTAAATCTGTAAATTTAGTAGTCTATTGATATGGTTAATCTTCATTTTATTATTTATTTGTTGGATTTAGTTATGCCAGCCACTGTGACAATATTCAATTTAAGTTGTGAACCAGTTCATGAACTTGGAACAGGATCATGGAATGAAGTACATTTCAGTCCACATGGGAATTATATCCTTTTTATGCTTTGTTAATGATTCCTTGTAATTTGTAAGTAATGGTATATATGTAATACATATATATATATAACTCGATCTCCTTCAGTCGTTCAGTGGTGTGTGAACCACTATCTTATCTTCAGTTTGTTTCGCTTTATATTAAAAGAGATTGTAAGTTTGTTTCTTTCAAATAAAGAACCCCTTTTAGAAATTGGTTACAGCATGTTAACGTAAAAAGATGAAAATGTTTGAACCAGTCATTATAAGCTCTGTGTTATCAAAGGAACTCAATATTCGTTAATGTAAAAGTAAAATTCGGGCACTCTGGTGAATTATAATTCCATTTTAGTCTGTTTATTAGAATTGTTACATAGTGAAACAGTATTATTTACTGGGTAACGTTTCAGACATAATTTGTTGTCCATATTCATATAAGGTAACTCCAAAACTTTGAGACCTGGTTTACATACTTCCGATCTTCTCTACTTCTTTGTGATAGGGGTAGTAGTATTCTCCATTTATCCGGAACAGGTACAGAATCCTTTCTATTGCATGTATTCGGTTCTGATTCGATAAACAGTTAGGTTGGTTTTTAATAGTGTCACCCTATCCCACCTTATTGTGAGATCGTGTGTAATCGTATGCACAGCTTTGGTCGAGCTGTCGTCTGTATTTCTTATTTTATAAAGATTTATTAATCTTGATTTAGCTAAGTTTTTGTGCTCTGTTATTCTAATCGACTCTAGTCGACTATTTCTTATCTATGTATTTGACCTTACAATCATTGTAAGGGATTAGGTAAATCAGTTTATTTTACCGAATTAAATCAACAGGATCTTTTGACCTACGAAGCTTATTTTTACAGATTTTAAGTTTCAAAATAAATAAACATACTGAAAGGGTGGCCATGGGACCACCAATATCCCCAATCATCGCAGACATATTTGTGGATAGTTGGAAATGGAAATAGCCCTTCAAGGATTTAGTCCTACCCTAAAGATATGGTTCCGATAGGTATGTTACACATTTACGGTACTGAAATCGGAACACATCGATAAACCCATGACACAAATTCAGTAGTGAACGCAATCCAATTTACCTGTGACTTAGAAAGTGATTGCAAGACTAAACAGAAACCAAATAGAAGTTTAGAGATAGCGTCCATGGGAAACCTTCCCATTTTGAATCGCTACTCAGACTTGAAATCATCTCACTCCACGTCAGTTAAAGTAGGCTTAGCAAAGTCGATAAGTAATAGGGCACAAAAATTTACTAGAAGGACAGAAAATCTGCGACAAGAAATGAGACACTGCAATAATATTTTACGTCTCAATAACTACCCAATCAAATTTACCAATAAATTCAGAAGAAATCGAAAGAAAAATATGAGTAGTCGTAATAGTAATAATAGGTGGCATTAATATTAATTCTACTAGTAATCGTAATAGTGGTGACAGGGTTGAGGAAGAAAGCACCTGAGAAGGATTACGAAGAATTCTCCATAAGGCTAATTGAGATTGACTTGGCATTTAAACCAACAAACTCGCTTAAAAATAAGCTTCTTAGGCCAAAAGATCCTGTTGATTTAATTCGGCAAAATAAACTGATTTACCTAATCCCTTACAATGATTGTAAGGTCAAATACATAGATAAGAAATAGTCGACCAGGGTCGATTAGAATAACAGAGCAAAAAAACTTAACTAAATCAAGATTATTATTTATTATTATATTATTAGACCCTTGGGTTCCTAGTGGAACATAGGGCTTCAGCAGCACGCCTCCAGTGACCTCTGTTCTCTGAGATCTTTTGAACCTGGTCCCACGACAGCCCAGAAGCTCTCATTTCCTGCTCGCACGACCTCCTCCATGTCACCCTCGGACGTCCAACTCGTCGCTTCCCATGGGGATTCCACTCGAGCTACTGGCCTGACGCGTGATGTCCTCAGTCGGCCTTCTCAGTGCATGGCCAATCCATCTCCACTTCTTCCTGCATATTTGTTGAGTGATAGGTTCTTGGTTGGTTCGTTCCCAGAGTTCCTTGTTGCTTATTTTTTCTGGCCATCTGATCTTCAGCAGCGAGCGTAAGCAGTTGTTGATGAATGTCTGTAGTTTATTGGAAATGCCTTTCGTGACGCGCCAAGTCTCTGAGCCATACAAGAGCACTGACTTGACGTTGGTGTTGAAAATCCGTATCTTGTTCCAGATGCTGAGTGCAGAAGATCTCCACACTGGTTTCAGGCTAATGAACGCCTGTCTTGCTTTTCCGATTCTGACTTTGACGTCCTCGTCCGTCCCGCCTGTAGTTGAAACAGTGCTTCCTAGATAAGTGAAGGAGGTTACTTCCTTTAAGTTTCTCCCGTTGACGGTGATTGGAGTTTGTTGTTGTTGTTGATGGTGGTGGTGCGGTATCTTCATCACTTCTGTCTTCTCTATATTCACCTGAAGTCCCGTCTTCGCTGCCTCTTCTATCAACTTGTTAGTTTTTGCCTGCAGATCTTCAAGTTTATGTGACATTAGGCACAAGTCATCGGCGAAATCCAAGTCTTCTAGGTTCTTTTCCGTCGTCCAGTGTATCCCCCTCTTCTCGCTGCCTACTGTTTGCTGCATGATCCAGTCCACCACAATAAGGAATATCATGGGGGATAGTAGGCAACCTTGTTTCACTCCTGTCTTCACTTCAAAGGCATCACTGAGCTTCCCATTGTGGATTACTTGGCATGTGGCATCTTCATATAGTTGTTGAATGAGGCGGATAAAGGTTTGCGGTACTCCGTAGTATTGAAGCAGTTTCCAAATTACTTCTCGGTCGACGCTGTCAAAGGCCTTCTCAAAGTCGATGAAGTTGAGGTATAGAGCTGATTGCCATTCTACGCTCTGTTCTATGATGATACGAAGCGTTGCAATTTGGTCAGCACATGATTTGTACTTCCTGAAGCCTGCCTGTTCCGGTCGTAGTTTTGAATCCAGTGAGTCTTTAAGCCTCTCCAGGATGATGCGGCTTAATATTTTACTTGGGGTGGACAGGAGAGTGATTCCTCGCCAGTTCTTGCAAGCACTGAGGTCTCCCTTCTTCGGCAGTTTGACAAGGTAACCCTTCTTCCAATCGTCAGGTACCTTCTCTTCCTTCCACACCTTCTGCAATAGTGGTGTGAGCATGTCCGCTGTTGTCTCTGCATCTGTTCTCAGTGCTTCTGGCGGTATTCCATCTGGTCCTGCTGCTTTCCCGCATTTCAGTAGCTTTATGGCGTTCAGGACTTCCATTTTCGTTGGGGGATTAATGTTCACTTGTAGTTCAGCGGCTGCAGGTGGTATTTCTGGACGAAGTGCAGGTGGTGGTCGATTCAAGAGCTTCTTGAAGTGGTCGGCCCATCGTTTCCTCTGTTTCTCTTCTTTTGTAATTAAATTTCCTTCTTCATCTTTTATTGGTTTCATCTGTGTTGGTCTCTTCCCTGATAGCAACCTGGTTATTTGATACAATGTCGTCAGGTCTCTCTTACCTGCAGCCTGTTCTGCTTCACTTGCCAGTGTGTCGTAGAAGTGTCTTTTGTCTTTGCGTGCACTCTTCTTCACTTCTTTGTCCAGTGTTTTATACATTGTGCTCAGTTCCTCTTGTCGTTGAGCATCCTTGCACTGGTTTATCTTCTGCTTCACCATCCTCCTCTCCTCTATCAGCTTCCAGGTATCCGTCGAGATCCATTCCTTGTCTTCTTTCTTCTTCCTTCCTAATACTGTTGTGCAGGTTTCTTTCCACATAGCTTTCAAAGACTTCCAGTGTTCTTCCACACAGGTTTCTTCAGGGATGTTCCTCGATATCTCCCATTTTGTCTTGATGGCTGCCTTGAAGATCTCCTTTGTAGTTTCATCCTTCAGTTTCCGAGTGTTGTACTTGAATTGAGGTCTATCACCAGCTTCCTTGAAGGCTTTTAACTTGATTTGGAAGGTTCCTTGCACTAGGTAGTGGTCTGAACCTACATCTGCTCCTCTTCTTGACCTTGTGTTAAGTAGACTGCGTCTCCATTTTCTTGAGATTGAGATAAAGTCGATTTGATTTTTAGTGTGTCCATCTGGTGAAATCCATGTCGCTTTGTGGATATCTTTGTGCCTGAACACACTGCCTCCAATCACCAAATCGTTGAATGCGCAGAATTCTGCAAACAATTCTCCATTCTCATTCATTTCACCTAGCGCCTCTCGACCCATGGTTAGTTCTCTTCCCGTGTTGTCCCCTCCCAGTTTGGCATTCATGTCGCCCATCAGAATTTTGATATCGCCAACTGACGTCTTGTCCAGTGTTGATTGAAGTTGTCTGTAGAAATCCTCCTTTTTCTCTTGCTCTGCATTATTTGTAGGTGCATAACATTGTATGATTGTGACCTTTCTTCCTTTTGAGTTGAATCTTGCTGTCATGATCCTGGAGGAGATTGGTTCCCACTGCATGAGAGCCTTCGATGCTCTTGAGGACATCATGATAGCCACTCCCTCAGTGTGCTCGTGGTTGGCGTCTGGGTGACCGGAGTAGATTATTGATTCTCCAGTTGACAGTTTGGAGAGTCCACTCCCATTCCATCTGCTTTCGCAAATCCCAAGCACTTCGATGTTATACCTTCTCATCTCCCTTGCAATCTGGGCTGCCTTACTGGGTTCAAACATCGTGCGGACATTCCATGTCCCCACGTTTACTTTCGCTTTCATTGAGCGAGAGAAGACACATCGGCCAATTGGCTTCCCGAAGGCTTTCACCAACTGGCGTCATTTCGCCTCTCCGATTCCAGCGGGGAATAAGTTTGTTTTCATTTTTTATATTTTGTTTGTGCTTTGAAGTTTCTTTAGCGGTTAGATTTGTTTTACGGGGTAGGGTTGCTAGCCCTATGCCCAACCTTCCCTCTTTACCCGGGCTTAGGACCGGCTAGTAACTAGTAAACTAGTTAACCAGGCGAGGTTTAAAAGATTAGTAAATCTTTATAAAATAAGAAATACAGACGACAGCTCGACCAAAGCTGTGCATACGATTACACACGATCTCACAATAAGGTGGGATAGGGTGACACTATTAAAAACCAACCTAACTGTTTATCGAATCAGAACCGAATACATGCAATAGAAAGGATTCTGTACCTGTTCCGGATAAATGGAGAATACTACTACCCCTATCACAAAGAAGTAGAGAAGATCGGAAGTATGTAAACCAGGTCTCAAAGTTGTGGAGTATTGAAAGACGCTAGACAACAACAATAACAGAGTATGCAATAGACTTAAAGTTAATCAATTCAATATTCTCGCATTTATGCAAACAAGAAATAGTATTTCAAATCGACAAGTAATATAGTATGAACTGCGCTCTGACATCCAGACCTCAATAAATATTACTTGATGCACTGTTCACAGTCAACATTGATACAGCGAATGTTTTAGTTGTTATTGGTGCTTCGCAGTGTGTTCGTCACCCTGACTATCAATTCTGTTATGGCGATAGGTTGTAAGCATCAATCCTTTAGCTGCTTATATAGTTATTATTCAAAAAAGTTGGTATCGGGACCTTATTTTTGATCTACTCAAGGTACTGCTACTTTATATCAAATGAAAAATTTGTTAGAAAATCAAGTCAGCATTCATCTTTTTGTGGTACTAATATAAATTAGTTTGGGTTTTGATACCTTGTATAAACTGAGTAGCGCTCACAAGCTGTTAACCCTCAACTATCATGTTTCATAGCTACTTAGTAGAGTGGAGTATTCTGACACTGTGTATGTATGCCTCTTGATGCTATTGCAGATATCTTTTAAAAGCCAGAGTAATTCAATTGAGACTGGTTTGAATGTATCCATTGATACTGAAATTTTATTGACCCAATGAAGTCGACAGAACTTTCTGATTCGTTGATTTTTTCAGTGTTCGAAGCCACCTTTACTTCTGAGACTGAATAGACTGTTTTTCTCAGGCAACTTTTGAAAAAAGTTCTTGTTTAAAGGCAATACCTCATTGATTTAAACACTCTTCCCATCTATAAAGTTAGGTATTCAAGTTCATCCTACTGATTTAAGTCTATCAAACTGATTGGTTTAACCAATAGTACACGATAGGCTTAACTCAAACTGCATGATACTATTTGAGTATACTTATTCACACTTTAGTCTGTATATTCTTAAGGTATATCAGAACTCATATTTGCCAATTAAAAAGTGCTTATATTTTATCTCACTTACTGCTCATCGCAATCGGTAGCTACAACTACCTTAGAGTTATTTCATCGGCAAACACTTATTGGTCCTGGAGTTGTATATGTTAGTTAGGATAATTTAGCTGTTATTATCATGAATGAATTTCTAGCTTTTATAAAATCTGAGAGTAAATGATGGAGATATGTGAAGAAAACTATTCACATCATCTCATAACTCTATGATTATCTCAGTTGTTAAGTAATATTTTTGAACCAGCATTACTGAAATTTACTGAATATAAACTATTAGTATCTGCTTTTCTTCTTCTCACTTGATGTTCATCATGTTGCTTTCCATTACTATCAACTCTTAGATGAGGTTAATCTTGTTGAAACATTCATATTTGGATGAGTGTTGAACAGGTGAAAGGTTATTGATTCCAAGCTGGACTGATAAAGTAAGGAAAGTAAGTCAGTTGATGTAGTTGCTAATTTCCATTCACTAAGGTGACTGACTCGTGTAAAGAATTGTAAACCTGTAGGTTGTAGTCTGTGAGATAATCGAAGTAGATGATTTAAAATTCTAGGCGATCTGACTGAAAACTAATTGTAGGTGTATTCATACCTTTATGTTAATTGTAACATTATGCATTTTTATCGTCTTTTTACTGTCGTCTTGCAAACGTTTACATCTGATTTCATTTCTTTCCTTCATTTATGTTGTTGTTAAGTGGACACTTTGATGGGATAATGTTGAGTATGGAATCTTCCATAATTACACAGTGATTCCAGATTCTCTCCATCTCATGTTCTGTATCATCAGTTTGTTCTCAATGTTTCACATTGATTTATTTTAGTGGTGGATTGATTAAGCATCCTAATAGACTTGAACACTCTACAATATTTCATCATACTTCCGAATTCCACGTCTTCACTTTAGAACTTATAGGCATATTAATACAGAACTTGAGTTTTTGAAAACTGTGATATTTGCTCAAACCTTAACTTTTTATAACTTGTTGACTTTGTTTTTGTTTTCGAGTATACTGTTACTATTAGCAGGCTTAGGTAATCTACCGGGAGATATGTGTATCTGGGATTTTGCAGCTCGTGAACGTTTGTCGTCATTTAAGACAGTGGATGTAACAAGTGTTCAATGGTTACCAGATGGTGAACATTTAATATTTGCAACAACAACCCCAAGATTACGTGTAAATAATGGGTTAGTCAGTTTATTGATTATCAGAATTACTTTTTTTTTCAAAAACACAAACAGACCCATCATCTGCATCATCTAAAGTGTAATGGCCAACCAGTTTGTGCATTGTCTATGTTTTCAGCTGTAATAAATTTAACTGTAATTCTTGATAGGAATATTCAATCGGTTGCTGTTGGCAGTGATGATCTTAAACGAGATGAACAATCTAAACAAGCTAGGAACTATGAAGGCGCTTGCATGAATCGAAATTCAGTAAACTCAAAATGATTCATTCAATGACAGTTAAAATCAGTCCTGAAGTGACGAAAAGTAATTGTCGCTGAGGATGTGTATAAGGCTTGTTTGGTGTTCTCTGAACTTTGATATTTTGTCATGGATGTTTCGTCACCAGGACTGGTGACATCTTCGGCACCATTATTATTACCAGAATACAAACGCAGTACAGCAAGAGCACTAAGAAGTGCTCCACACAAAATAGTATAACAACAGGGTGAAGACAAATAATGCGAAGTGGATAAGTTAGAACTAAAAACAATAAGAACTCCATAGTTTGAAAGACCATCCAGTAAGATACATTCTAAGCAAAACATCCATTACTTTTCAGCAGTAGACCAAAGAAGGAAGCCACATCATGACCGCCACTGGTTTTGATCCTGAGCCATATTTGATAACGTCTGAAACCACCGATTTGTGTGATCTCTCGGACCCCTTCAGGGAGTCGTGATCCACCAACAGATGGTAACCCGGTACAACTATCCTTCATTCCACGGCACTGCGTCATCGACTGACCACTCCCTATGCTTCTTCCCTCCAGTTCCAGAGCTAGTAAACAATGAACGGTATGGAAGCCGATGGGCCGACATGCGTGACACATGTGCAGTCCACCGAATCCGGTGTTTCCAGATGACTTCACTTATTGAATGACGACCTTCACCATGCCCAAACACACGCTTTCATACCCGAGAATTACCTACAGAGTGTTGCTACCGGAAATGAGCAATCCTACGGAGACAACGATGATCGAACACACAGAGTCATTGCACATGCTCAGTTCGAAGATGTGAGGTTGACAGGCGTAGAACAGAAGTGCTCGCATCAAAAGGTTGCGAACTTGACGTTTTGCAGTTAGACTAACTTCGCAATGACACTGAAGGTGGCCGAGACTGGCGTACGCCACTGTGGCTTTTGATATGTGGTGGTTGAAAATTTCATGACTCACGCCTGCACCAACACTTGCAGCACTACTCGGATGCACGAGGTTTCCGTCTACTTCCGACAGCTCACCACCGAGAGCACGGGCAGACACAGGCTCCTTCGGTGGTGCAAAGTACATACCATACTTATAGACATTATAAAGAACACCGAACCGCCGTTAAAATATTGCATAGAAGGATTTTTAAAATATGGGATCATAGTTGATGCATATATGTATACAGAATATCCGAATATATCACTTCAGAGTTTTTGTAGTATATCTTAGAAATCATTTACACTTGACAATACTACAGGTGTCCAAACCTGATTTCCTGGTATCATGGTAACAACCATATTCAAGGTGTACCTCATAAGGTGGTATCTTATGAGGCACACCATTTTTGTTTAGCAATTTTCATGCAGTCTACTTCGACTGTCCTTATTGGTGTTTTCTTGGAATACTACTTTACGCTTTTTAGAACCGATAGTGATGTCTAATTGGTGTTAATTCAGTGACCAACTACCTTTGCACCATTACCCCTACCGTGTTTCTAGGTTGTGATCATTACACTGTAATACGATTAAAAAGAAACTGAGACCGCTCTCTCTCAAACGAGGCTGACTTTGATTGACAGCCTGGACGTAAATCAAACCTCTCTACCCGAACTCAAACAGCCGTGTGAGCGATTATAAAGAGTTGTTATCTGAAGTGAAAATAACCACTGATGTTCACTAAGGATGTCCACTGTCACCATTCCTGTTTAACTTTGTTATAGATTTACTAATGAACTTGACCGTAAATATGTCTGAAATTCACAGGGGTCGAACTACTCCTTCGAGGGCATCTGGTTGACCTTAAGTACTCAGATGACATTTTCCAGTCAGGTGAGGACGTTGAATACCTTGAACTGAAATCTGAGTATCTCAACTACTTCAGGACTGGTGTGCACCTACTCCTAGTTTACTTTTAAAGTGAAGTGGCTGAACGCCTTGTCAGCCTGTTAGGCATGTGCCAACTTGTTTCATATGTCACACCGGTGAAATATGCGACTACCTGTTAACCGTCAAGTATGTTGCGCTGTAGTATACTCTTTGCTGTTATATAACTGAGATTTGATCGTGGAACTGAGAAATTTGGAGATAACAGGCTTTCAACAACAGGTGCTTTTGTAGTATATCACATATATGATGGAGTCACCGGGTGAGGACTGTCGAGGTTTGGCACAAGGAAGACAAGTCAATGGATGAGGTTGTGAACTTTCGGTGACTGAGGTGGCTTAGAATTAGGTTGCTCATGCCTAACAACTGCCTACCTCGACGTTCAGTGTTAGGAGAAGTCGGTGACCAGACCAAGACATGCCACCAGTCGATGTAGTACCTGACTGTTGGGTTGGGATGTGTAAACTGTCTGACTTGGGTCTTCAATGTACTAAAAATCAATGGTTGGAAACCTTGGTGATATGGCTGAAAATTTGTCATAATGGTGCAGATGTTTTCACTCTTTGGCACCTCTTCGAAATGTTCGAAATTATCACTAACCTTCATTTTATAACAATCATTCTCCTTTTGAGATCACTCTTTTTCTATCCACTTGTTCTTTGCATGCTACTGTGAAGTTTATCGACTTGAAGCAATACATTTGTGTGTTATATTCCATGTTGTTGTTTTTTCTGTTATAGTCAGAGCGATGCTATGCATGCATGTTTTGAAAATTTTTCCTTATAAGCCTTTTCACCTGTGATAGTTCAGAAGAAAAAGCATAAGTTATTTCATAAAATTCTTTATGTTGAATTAGCATTTATCATTATATCATCACTTGAACAATTCGTGTTCATATGATTTAGCCAGGAAGCTACACTTGTTATTCAAAATTAAATCCAACGGTAACAGCATGCATGCTATACGTTTTCTACATTACTTGAAGTTTGTGTTTGATTTCGTTGTCTCGAAAATCAGTATTATCTATATTATCTCCTTTTTAATAATTTCGGCGTTCGTTGATAGTGTTTCTATCAATGAATAACCTTCACTCAAATATGCTATTACTTTACTAGCAGTGGTTGAACACTTCTTACTTAAGTCTTCTCCGTAAACTTTTCAACAAACATAAACAGGCACTATCTTTTCGGTATAGATGTGCAATTGACTGCCTTGTCTTTTTTTTTCCTTTGCATTTCACGTTGCCTTTCAGAAAAATGTGAATTCACAATTACTCTTAGTTTGGAATTGTTAATCAAATGTATCTGCATATCAGTCGTTATGTGTATGTTCGAAATGAGACTCGAACTTAACTTGTATTGTTTTTAGCTTCAAAGTGACCTTCATTACAGCATTGACGTAATATATTAGGAGATAAGTAGTTCAGTTCTATTCGCTTGATTTAAGCAAAATTTAATTTATTATGAATTCTTTCATACCTTAGCAGTCATCCCTTTCATTCTGACTAATTGAAATACTACTCAAATCGAAAGAATGGTAGGATTTAATCCACAGGAAAAAAGATCCACTAGCAAGATGTATTTGTACTTTCAGTGACCATCATGTTCTGCGGAAGATTTAAACCAACATGACGAACTTTATTGCCAATTCAGCCAAGTCATGTACACCTGTGAAATACCACCTCGCCGAGCTAAGGACATCTAACGATGCTATGTTATCAATCACCACGGTCTCCCTAGAATTGCTAGCATCCAGTGGGAACACCATGTCAGGTATTCCAAGTTCATCATCACCAAGATCAACATAGGAGCAGGCACTACTGCTTAGCGGTCCAAATTGCCGCACTTTATATCAGCACATCAAGTAACAAGGCAATAAATTGGAAGATGAAGGAAAGAAAAATCCGTTAAGAGGAGTAGAATTGGAAAGTAGTAAAAGAGAAAGAAGAATGAAAAGATGATGAGATTAAGTATAGCCGTTAATAGGAGGATTTTGAGTGTATGCGTCTGCATCTGTGTTCTGAGCCATATCACCTAAAATCTCCAACCATTGGCTTCTTTTGTTGCGCGGACATCAATTGGCTAGTCTGCATCGCCCTACATGGCTTAAGCCTACAACTCTATCACCACTCAAGTTATCCTAAGTTGAGATGGCATAATGAAGATCGTCATCCGTTTAGTGTGGTCATATTTAAAAACCAGCTTCGGTGGCTGCGACATATGTCACATATTTTGTTCCAGAGACTCACATCCTGCTGACTGTTTTCTTCGTCTGAAACTGGTTGGAACAAATGGAGAGGTTGCTAGTGTGTGACCTGATGGTGTGTAATAAAGGATATTTGTCCTGGTTTAACATCTATTGACTCCTTACGACTCCCAGGATGGGGTCTCAGCGGATATATATCTTAGGAGCTTAGAACAGTAGCGGAATTGCCTCAGAACGGAAAGCATTTTAACCAGCTTATTAGAAACGTCATATAATGAAACCATGTCATTTACTATGTGATGCATCTAATAAACCAACTAAAATGGAATTACAATCTACCACAGTGCCCAAATTTTACTCCTTTATACAGTCATGGTCTTATTGTAGCTTTCTTGTTTCTTCTGTTACTGCAAAGTTATGTGAGAGTAGTGAATGTTTCTTCGGATGTATCTTCGAAACTAGTTTTTGAAAACCCATTTTTGTTCTTGTTTCTATTCTCTCCTCCGATTTCTTTGTCTCTAATATTGCCCTATTATTTTCTATGGCACATCTCTTGCTGTCCATGTTGTACCAAGTTTGTGGTCTAAATAATATTAAAAAACAAAACTCAGCTTATGACTAACTTTCAATTAGGTTGACTTGTGTACATGAGTTATTTGTCAGATGGTATCTTTCATAAACAGAATGATATGCTTGTACGAAATAATTTGAGTAACTTCAAAGACCACCCCAGCAACTGCTGAGATAAGCAATTATTTTTCTCCATTCCGAGAAAATTTGCCTTCCTAGCCAAAATACCGAAACTTTATTGGTTATTTCTGCAGTTGCTAAGGTACCCTTTTGATTCATTCCTTGGTCAACTACATAGCTAATTCTCCACTTAGTTATTACCAGGCCCATTCACTTATATGACTGTCACCGTATGAATATATGTCTATCCTCGAATTAATCGAATTTCTGGATGGTCATAATGGCAGAGAAAATCTGGACAAACAATTGAATCTAAGAGATCAACTTGCCTAAGGGCAACATATTCACAACAGTCGTACACAAGAAATTTATCTAGTACTTCATCTAATAAAAAAACAATTAACGGCAAATATTCCTCTTTGATAATGCTGTATACTTCAGTGTGAATTATCTGTAAAACCCACGACCATTGGACTGCAGTACCAATTTATATTTCTCTGCACCACAACTATTTCTATTGGTATAAATATATATTGGTGTGAACTGTAACACTTGAAGTGTAGGAAATACTTGAGCTTAGATATTCGCTTGGATTACATGATAATGTGGACACTTATTGATTCCGAAATCGTTGTAGTTAGTTCTTTTTAGTCAATGAAGCTATAAACATATGAATTAATGGTAAGATGGATGTTTATATCGCGAAACATGTGACTATACAGGTGGGTGAAATATGTTGGCTACTCGTAACGCAAACGCGAAATATTACGCGACCTTTATTCCACCTGAGGGTGAAACAAAAATAGGTGAAATAATCTAAACTCATAAACATTGCGTGTTCTGAAAAATGGTTTTTTCTTGCTTGTTTCATGACTTACAGACACTCTCAATGTTATGATAGAGTTTAGTGTCCTCCCTTTTGAACCACTGAGGAACACTCAAATAAATGTAGATCTCTTGACTATTATCAATTTGATGATGCCTATTAACCAGCTTCTCTCATGTTAAATTCATAAAATGAGAATAAAGTATTTTTGAGATGAATTGGGATTTTCATTTAGAGGTAGCATTCATCATGGACTGACATCACTTGGGGAACCATTGAAAACCTGGGAGCACTGGACGGCTGTTTCGTCCTAGTATGGGACGCCTCAGCAGTACGCACCTACGACCTGGCTAGGGGCCGAACTCAGGACCTTCAGGTTTCACGGCGACTGCGTTAACCATTCAGCTACTGGGTCGGTTTTTAGTGGTTCGCAACCGATTTAGTGGCTAAAGGTTCTGAGTTTGGTCCCTAGCCGGGTTGTGGGTCCGCACTGCCGAGGGGTCCCACACTAGGACGAAACAGTTGTCCAGTGCTCCCAGATTTTCAGTGGTTCCCCAAGTGATGTCAGGCCATGATGAATGCTACCTCTAACTAGAGTGCTTATTATCACACACTTGGAATTTATTTTTTTACTTTAGGTTCGACGTAAATTACTTTGCGAGACATGCTTATCATTTGATCAAGCTACAAATACTTATTGAATTGAGCATTTATTAGTTATCTTGAGCCACTGTCAACGTTGATCCCTCGTGTTAACCAGCGCAGGATGAATTTAGAGAAAGCCGGGGTTGATCAAACTAAAATGTGATACCAGTCTATTGCGTCACCAATTATTAGTCTGATTCGTGTAAATTATCTGTTTGTAGGTCGATGTCCGATTGTAACACTAATGTCTATCTTAAAATCATTCACGTCTGTGAACTGAAGTGTTTTGTCCACTGAAAAAACCTTCATGTTTTCCTGTGCATATTTTTTTAATTGTTTTGTTTTATTTACTTATTTCCTTCGATAAAGCCAGTTGAGTACATTATTCAGGCATTCTATAGTGTTTGTCAACAAAGCTTGTCTTGATATCCATTGGAAAGATATTCTTTGACTGAGATTCAAAAGGAATCTTAAGCCTTGTTCAACATCATCAAACTGATTTTACTCATAAACGACTCGATACACTACTTAGTTCATTTTATTACCGTCTATATTTTTATACTGTCGATAAATCATACTTTATTTTCAACAGCTTTGGAATATGGCACTACAGCGGTAAACAATTATCCTATCAACCTGTTGAACGTCGTGTTGTTCCAAGACCAGCTACCTTAGATTTACCTGCTGCAGTTGAACATGAATTATACCAGGTTTTAGTTGTATACCCTGTCAAACTTGGACCTGCTCCTGAGCCGAAAAAGTTTGAATCCGTGAGTTTATTACTACCTCCTGATAACATTGTTTCTTATTATCATTGTTGATTTCATGAATATGTTAGTTACTTGGAGATCATTTCTCTCTTCTATAGCTCAGTTTACAATACAGCCATGAAAACTAGTTAGACTATGCTGTTTAAAATATATCACTACTACTAATTGGATAAGATGATATTTAGATAACTAATAAGTTTTAGGGAAATCCTGAACTATGACTGCATCGAAACTAACGGCCTATGATTTACTGACCCGGCACTGTGTCGATTGCACTGAGATACTGACTCTGTGACGATGTCCGAACTGCACTCCAGTCATCCGGAATCCCACTCGTCTGAGATGCAGATTAGAGATAGATTATTTAGAAGAGAGGTTGTTCAATGAAAATGGTTGTACAAATGTTCATATATATATATATATATATATATATATATATATATATATATATATATATATATATAAATCAGTTGGCTCCATAAATCCAGACTTCCAGAAGAGATGCAGCATGTGTAAAACGCCAAATGTGTTCACAACGAAAAAGCAAAGGTTACCTAGGACGAGGCATCTACAAATAATGAACTAAACAGTCGTTTCTCTTTCTTCGAGTTTCCTGAGACTGATACCTGAAGTTAATATTAGTTTGAAAAGGCTGCTGGCTCTAATGAATACCTTAAACTGAATTCATTTTGTAGTCTTGTAGTCAAATTACAAAGTACTTGGACACACCTACGATTCTAAAGTTATTTATTAAGTAAGTTATTGATATATTCGTTTTCAAAGTGTATTGCATTATTTTAGGGAAACCTGATATAGTTGGTAAGCTTCATTGAGGAATTTAGTGCATCTTCTATCCTCAACATTTCGCCAAAACATGTTTCATTTTTCAGCGAACATGTACTGATAGTGTAGTGGTGTCTTCGTTTCCTCTCCGTTCCTGTCTTGATTTGCTCTTGACCGGCTCTTCATGCACTCTTATCAGCAGCATCCTCTGTAATACGCCTGTGTTGTCCCCTGCATTGCTCTTGGCAGAAACCTTACCCATTGCCGGTAATTCCCTATGATCCCTGCCACCCTCGATATATACTACTTATATCCGTTGTTATCAGCAACGCCCACTACAATAGTATTTGCGGTGGTTAGCAGCATTCTTTTTTAAATGCTTTTATAATTATCTTTTTTCCTGTCGTTTCACAAACCTATTCACCACCTCTGTTATTAATCTCATCTATTTTGCCTTATGAATAACCCTGTTCAAACGTATAAAAAACTGCTCAGATTATGCATCTATAGTGTTTCGAAGTTCTTGTTAGTGTATTCATCGTCAAATTTTCACACTACAACGAATCAAAGCTAACCAGAGCGCTTGATGCGTTTAAATTTTACCTAATAGGAATGAATTGAAGTAGTTTTGCCTTCTCTCTGGATTACTTTGAAGAATGTGTCTAACCGAAGTTTCACTTCGCTGTACTCAAGTTAGAAAGATATAAAAAGCGGCAGGTTCGATTCTTGCTGTGATCATAGTTTTTAAGTCACTTTTAATCCTCACCTTGTATCATATTACAAATATCTTAAGGCTTTAATGCTATATGTTGTTCTTGTCTTAGGACATTTTTCATTCCATTTTCGTTACATCCTTTGTGCATAAATACATGATTATTATAGGTTGGTTTTTTTGTCCAAGTGATTTGTATCTCATAATTCAAATTCTCCACCTAACCCATACCGCACTACACTCGATGCTTGCACGCAGGGCTTTAAAATCATTTGTTTCTTGATATGTCCAAATGATTCAACAGTGGTCTCACCATTTAGTCTAATTTTAGACAAGAGAACAGTAGTGCTTATTTTCAACTCAACAGTTAACAGGTGGGTATTATGTCATGAAATTTTGACCAGAGAACATACGAGATTTCACCAGTAACCTGATATAACAAAGGATATCCAAGTAAATTGAGCGGTCATTGAGCTTTACAACTGACTCCCTATGAAGCAATTCACCTAATGACTACTATTTCATAGGTTGCATTTTTACACCATACTTTTTTATCTTGGTGCCTGAGCTGTATATTATACCCTTCCATAACAGAATAACTTAGTCATTGAATTACTGTGATCAAATCAGGATTATTTTAAGTTGGTTTTCATCATGGACTGATATCAATTGGTGGAACATTGGAAACCTGGGAGCACTGGACATCTGTTTCGTCCTAGTGTAGGACTCTTCAGCAGTGCGCACTCACAACCCCAGCAATGCTCATTGGTGACTAGCTTCAAGAGGTGGTCCCTGAAGTTTAAATGAGAAGTCGTGACCAGTGGGACGAACCTGATTGTCATGAGGACAAATACTCAACGATGACACTGAATGATGGTCGTACTATGCTGTGAACTAACGGAAGTTGGAAATGTGGACCAATGTATTCCGACCCAGTGGCTCAGTGGTAACGTCCTGGTCACGGAACCTGAAGATTCACTTTTACTATCGTATGAATATATTCCCGAAAATTTGTTATTCTTTTTTATTTTCAATCACTATTTCATGTTAAAATCGAGTGGTTCTAAATATATCATTTGTAATGACTAGATGAAATTCATCGAGATTTTTCATTTGCCTTTTCTAGCCTCTTGGTTGTGTTGTGAGCTGGATGGCTTAATCGTGAAGCTTTTTTTAATCTCCCTAGATAACATCATTGGCACTAGCCCCAATATGAAGTGAGCGATCAGTATTTTTTCTCCATCATTGATTCAGTAAATCGCCCTAACGGAGTGGTTTGTGATTGGTCATTTCCTTTGATTGTTTTGTTATTGACGGCATAGATTTTCCCGTTAGCTGTTTCTCTGTCTGACCTTTGACCTTGCAGTTGTTTACCATGTTCCTTATTTGTTGATAGATTCGGTCTAAGTCTATACACCTGCTGATTGATCTTAATGTCAAGCTTCTAGGAATTCTCTGATGTTCTTTGCGTTTCTTTTTCGCAAAATTGAATTCATGTCCATAGTTATTCACGTTCATTGATATTAGCGACGAAATGTCGTGACGTTTAATAGTCAATTGATGTTCATGTAAATAAAGGAGAAAAGGGCAACCACTCAGTTCAAATTAGTACTGACTGCATTTGCTACAGTTAATTTTGTGAATGATATTTGGTTTGTCTTCTTCGGCTGTTTCCTCCTTTGTTCTGCGTACCGTGAGATGACCTGTTCGCTGGTTTCCGCGAATGACTTCGTAGTTGATAATGAACGGGATAGTTATCTTCTAATGGAGTTTCGTGGGTTACTGTTATTCTTTATGACAGACACTTAGTAATTATCTTTGTTTCTACCTGAAATAATTGTACTATAGTGTGTTCTTGTTCTTTTTTGAATATTGTCTGTAAGCAACCAATTTTGTGAGTTGTTGGGCTGTTGCTTTTTCAGTTGAGGATTTGATCGATGCACGTTGACTTTCTGCACACTTAAGTTTCCAATTTTCCAGAAGTGACAGTTGATTGTTCGACTCCTTCTCCATTATGAATTTGAGTTCATTTAAAAAGTTTTTTTATCGAACTGTAAATGTTTTCTGATTCATAGCCAACTGATGTCCATGTAAACGAAGCCTGTAACATTCATATGAACTTGATTAAAATTTGAGGAGTCAGTATGAGAAAAATATTATTCGCAAATTTTAGCTGTATGTAAAGTGAGTCAGTGGTTTCTGAACCTGAAATTAACCTAGCTTTTCGCTGCATCATTGATCGTTCCCATGTTCCTTTATGGTAGTTTCTGTACGTCACAAGGTTAATGACGTTGTGATAAAGCTAAATAGTTAGTATGGATCCTCAGCTACTGAAGTCTTATCAATCTCATGAGGTGTTTTGCGTTATTTTTCACCAACTGTAAACTTAAAGTTCAACTGTTCGTGCTTTCCACAGGCATTATATGTTTGTCAGATTGCCAGAATCTCTTCAGGTTCTTTGATTTTATTTCATTAATAATGGTAGTTTACTCACTGTGGAGCTGTGGTTCATTGTGTGATTCAGTGGACTTTCGACTAGTGGGTCTGGAGTTCGAATGCTTCATCTACTGAGATTTGGGCAGTCAGTCAGTATTATTAGCCCTCACATAATAGATGTGATATTCGGATGTGCATCAAGTTGCCGAAAACATTTCGATTCGAGTTTATCCATTGTCTATATCAAAGTTTTATTACTCTTATTGTCTTATGCGGTTATTAATTGGTGGTAAATACTGACATCAGAATGTGACTTATAACAATATCGAGATAGGCATATAGAACTTAGGTAACAATTATTACTCGTTCAACGATAGGTGGTTGTTATGTGACTCAATAGCCTTGTGAGATAACACTCACATTTAAAGTGATAGTTTAATTTCTCTTCGGAACATATATGTACTCTTGTGACAAGTCTTGAATACATCATTTTACACCTCTTGAATTCGATTACTAACCCTTATTGAAATATTATACTCCTGCTTAAAATTATCGGCGTCAATAAATTTTAAGTAGACTTCCTCCTTTCAATTTTCTGTACAGGTGACCAACTCAGATACGAGCGCATCAGTGAATAAACCAACTTCAGTCTATGTGCCACCAGCACTTCGTAATCGTTCTGCAGTAGCTATACAGTCAATGAAAGCAACTTCAATGAGTGACAGTGCTAAAATCTCATATCAATCTACTAATAATGACAATAGTAAGAATAAGAAAAATAATGCAAACATAAAGAATACAAACAAAAGTAAGATAACTTAAACTTATCCTATTTTCTTTCTCGTTTGTTAATTTCTCAATGTATTTTAATAAATTCACTTTATGACATGATCTCTTTAGGAGATCTCTTTACTACAGATTTACTATCAACATGTACTGTCAGGTATACATATCATATTATCGGAAAACTGTCATATATAAGGAGCTATAGCTCAATGATAAATGCACTCCACTTACAGTTAGTAGGTCACAAATTTGAAACCGGCTGTATATTCCGTGGTTCGGGAACCAGATATCGGTATGATTAACCCTCCTGGAAGAGTTGCTAACTATTGCCTAGTTATATTACGCAAAATTACATCTGATGAGAAATTTAAATAATGGATAGTGGTAATAACCATAATAATGTTTACGTTTTTGATGCCATTAATGGTTAAGTTAACAAAACTCAAAAGATTTCGGAAACATCTCATATCATTCAAACAGCTTAAAGAGTAGGGTAAAAACAGCATAACTAAACAAAACAAAAGAATCAGTCAGTTACTGAATATATATATATATAAGACCTGGTATTACTGCACATTTATCCATGTTCTCAAGCCTCACACAAGCATATCTAAGGTGCAGAACAAGAAGACGAAATACAGAAGAATGAAACTTGTGCTGTGCAAGTTTAAAATGAAAAGTAGACGGGTGAAAGGAAGTAACGAAATCTGATATAATGCTGACGATAAAGATGAAGTGTGTATGAGGCGGTCTGCTTAAAGTCCGGGCTACCAAAACTCTTGCACCGAATAGATATCATCAAATTCTCCCCCCTTTCAATTTGTTTTAATCCTCTAAAATATGTCGTTTAAACGCGTGAAGCACTTTTGCACACTTTTAAAATGGTCTCAAACTTCTGTTTTTCAAGATAACAACCAAACAAATAAAAAACGTTACCCTGGTAAGTGATGGGTTTATAAGTGCACATAATTATGTCAAACTGCAGAGTTTGGTTCTGGCTGAATAGTCAGTCAGTCACTACCAAAAATACGCTCGGTATTTTGTTTCATTCACCAGTCCAGACCAGATCCTAATGTAATACAATACCAGGAGTCTGTTTCACATTGTGCCTTTTATTACTGTTAGTATTATCATTACTATCACTATTATTATTGTTATTATTATTATTCGAATGCAATGATTACTTCGCTGAAAGACATTGTACACTGAATGAATTCGTTGAACTATTACATCCTGAGAATTACACACTGTGCCACAATTCTTGTTTGAAATAAAATTATTATTATTATTATTATTATTATTATTATTATTATTATTATTATTACTGTTATACGACATTCTACATTAATCATTCAGAAATGAAGTATAACATTATGACTCTGTAAGACAGGTTGACAGATAAGATGAAGATTCGGCCTGGCATTACTGCGAAACGGTCAGACTTGCCGCACCTCATATCAACATATCAAGCAACGAAGCACTAAGATGAAAAACAGAAAAGAAAGCAGTGAAAAGTTGTAGACAGTCACGGTAAGAAGACAAAAATGAATAAGAAATTACTCAACTCACTATGACGATTAAAATGAAGATGTGTGGATACATTCACGCCACTGAATCACTTCACGTAGATTATCCAACCACTGTTGTCACGTTAATCCCAACTGGGAAATCTACATTTCCCCAGATGGCTTATAACTCTAAAGACCCATCCTAGGACAATAGTTTGCCTTTGGATGGCACAAAATTTCTCAAACATTCTCAAATCGCCACTCATGGTATCCAGCAAACTCTGCTTCTTCTCAACATTCTAGATCTACTGAGGATTTTCTTATGATGAGATCAATCACTGTACAATCAGATGACGAGAGGGAGGCTTCGATAAATATGTCTGTGATAAAGTTGAGTAAGAGTTGAGAGGATGGACATTCTTGACGGATACCATTCACTGTACGCAACTCACGGGATACCTCACCAAAGGCTTTAGGAAACCCACAAGTGTTCAACTACAGAGCTTTCAACAGAGTGATGATTTTAGTCAATACCATTTTCAGTGAGAGATACTGCTATAAAACATCTCGACCAATGGATTCGAAAGCTGCCTTCAGGTAGAGAAATACGGGTAGTCTATGGCGTCGGTAAATGTGTTTGTGTATTAAGAACCTAGCGGAGAACGTATACCTGTGTGATACACCGTCGCACAGATCTGAGACTTGTCTAGTGTTCTTGGGATTGCTGTTACCTGGTTTCATTTAGACGTCTGGAAAGTAAAGAACCTAGAATCTTGGACACAATGTTCACCAGGTTGATTTCCCAGTAGTTATCGCAACAGGAAACTTCGCTTGGTTAACTAGTTCACTAGTTACTAGCCGGTCCTAAACCCGGATAAAGAGATAAGGTTGGACGTAGGGCTGGCAACCCTACCCCGTAAAACCAATCTAATCGCTAAAAAAACTTCAAAGCACTAAGAAAATATCAAACACTAAAACAAACTTATTCCTCGCTGGAATCGGAGAGACGAAATGACGCCAGTTGGTAAAAGCCTTCGGGAAGCCAATTAGCCAGGCCGATGTGTCTCCTCTCGATGAAAGTGAAAATAAAAATGGGAAGATGGAATGTCCGCACAATGTTTGAAGCTGGCTAGCAAGGCTGTCCAGATTGCAAAAGAGGTGAGAAGGCATGGCATATAAGTGCTAGGAATCTGCGAAAGTAGATGGAATGGAATTGGACTCTCTAAACTATCAACTGGAGAATCAATAATCTACTCCAATATTGTCACCCAGACAACAACCACGAACACACTGAATTATGGAGTGGCTATCATGATGTCCCCAAGGGCATCAAAGGCTCTCATGTAGTGGCAACCAATCTCATCCACATTCAGGATCATGATAGCAAGATTCAACTCAAAAGGAAGGAAAGTCACAATCATGCAATGCTACACTGCTCACCTACAAATAATGCAGATGAAGAGAAGAAGGAGGAATTCTACAGACAACTGTAATCAGTACTAGACAAGACTTCAGTTGGCGACATCAAAATTCTAATGGGTGGGGTAACATGAATGCCGAACTGGGAGCAGACAAAAAAGGAGGAGAAGTAATCATGAATCGAGAAGCACTCGGTGAAATGATGAATGAGAACGGAGAACTGTGTGCAGATTTCTGCGCATTCAACGATTTGGTGATTGATTGGAGGCAGTATGTACAAGCACAGGGATATTCACAAAGCGACATGGATTTCACCAGGCACCTGGACACACTGAAATCGACTTCATCTCAATCTGAGGAAAGTGGAGACGCAGCCTACTGGACAAAAAACCAAGAAGGTGAGCAAGGAACCTACCTTTTTTAAAATCAAGTTGAAAGCCTTCAAGGAATTTGGTGATGGATCACAGTTCAAGCTGAACACCCAGAACAGAAACTGAACTGAAGGATGAAACTACAAGTGGCATCTTCACGTCAGCCAGCCATCAGGACAAAATGGAAGACACCAAGCAACATTTCCAAAGAAACCTCCTTTGAAGAACACTGGAACTCTGTGAAAGCCATATGGAAAGATACCTGCATAACCGTGTTAGGAAGGAAGAAAAAGCAGGACAAGGAATGGATCTCCATGGATACATGGAAAATGATAGACGAGAGAAAGATGGTGAAGCAGAACATGAACCAGTGCAGTGCAAGGACTAACTGAGTACAACCTATAAACCCCTACACTGGACAAAGAAGTGAAGAAGAGTGCATGTAAAGACAAAAGACACTTCCACGAGACACTTGCAACTGAAGCAGAAATAGTTGCTTGTAGGAGAGACCTGTCAACATTATATCAAATAACCAGCTTACTATCTCGGAACAGATTAACACAGATGAAATCAATGAAAGATAGTGAAGGAATCATAGCTACCAAAGAGGAGAAACAAAGGGAACGATGGGCTGACCACTTCACAAACCTCTTGAATCGACCACCACCCGCAACTGGTCCAAAAATACCATCAGCAGCCCAGCCACAAAACTATCAGTGGACATAAGGCCTCCGACAAAAGCAGAAGTGAAGTCCTGAATGCCATAAAGCTGCCGAAAGTTGGGAAAACATTGGGACCGTATGAAATCCAGGTGAAAACAGACGCAGAGACAACAGTGGACGCGCTCACACCACTATTGCAGATGATTTGGAAGGAAGGAAAAGTACCTTCTTATCGATAGAAAGAAGGGCTACCTGGTCTATTTTCCAAAGAAGTGCAACCTAAGTCTTTGCAAAAACTGGTGCGAAATCACTCTCCTGTCCATCCTAAGCAAAATATTAAACCGCATCATCCTGGAGAGACTAATAGATGGGCTGGATTCAAAATTACAACCGGAACAGGCTGTTTGGCTGGCTTCAGGGAGAACAAATCATGTGCGGATCAAATTGCAACGCTACGCATCATCATAGAACAGAACATAGAATGGCAGAATGGCAACTCTCTACCTCAACTTCATCGATTTTTAAAAGGCCTTCGACAGCGTCGACCGACAAGTTATTTGGCAACTGCTTCAACACCACGGTTTTAGTGACACAAACTTTTATCAAATTCATTCAACAACAGCCATATGCTGTATGGTGCTACATGCCAAGTGATTCACAATGGAAAGCTGAGTGATGACTTTGAAGTGAAGACAGGAGTAAGACAAGACAAGGTTGCCTACTATCATCACCGATGATCTTCTTGATTATGGTCGACTGGATTGGACTGGACTGGACTGGATCATGCAACAAACTGCGATGAGAGGGGCATACGCTGTTTGACCGATGAAAAGATCCTAAAAGATTTGGATTTCGCCCATGATGGTTTATGTGTTTTGTTACACAAACTCGAAGATCTACAGGCAAAAACTAACAAGTTGGCATAGGTAGCATGGCAGCGAAGACAGGACTTCTTTCAGATAATCATAGAGAAGACAGAGATGATGAAGATACCCAACCAACAACAACAAGCACCAATCACCATGAACGGGAGAAATCTAAAGGAAGTTGTCTCTTTCACCT